CCACCCCCACCCACTCCAGGGCCGACATCCAGCCGCAGGGTCCGTTTCCCCCCACCCAACCCCACTCACTCCAGGGCCGGCGACTGGAGGGGCAAGCCTCCGGCTGCCACGTTCGTTTCCACCCCCCCACTCCAGGACCGGTCGCCTGCTCCCTTCCCCTCCCCCACCACCCACTCCCAACAGGCACTGAGGGGAATGTAGGGTTGCCAGCTCTAAGGAGGGAAATACCTGGAGGTTTGGGGGGTGGATTCTGTAGAGGGCAGCATTGGGCGGGGGGCGGCGGAAGGACTCAGCAGGTATAATGTCATAGGGTCTACCCTCCAAAGCATCCATTTTCTCCAGGGGAACTGATCTCTGTCATCTGGAGATCAATTGTAGCAGTGGGAGATCTCCAGGTCCCACCTGGAGATTGGCAACCCTAGGGGGAAGTCAGCTGCACAGCAGGGGGTTGAAGAGAATGGTTTGATGGCTGCTGGGCCAAGATTGGCAACAATAGTTCCCCAGGAGCCCCATCGTAAATGCACCAAACAATTCCTCAAGATTTTCCAAAACACTTCTCTGTTTTGGGCTCCTGGGGAACTTTGAAGTAGCACCAAAGCTTTAAGATCTCTCCAGCTGTCACCTGGAGACTGGCAACAGCTTGTCTGGAGTGTGGGCAGCATGGCATTGTATCTGTTTGAGGTCCCCCTCTTCCTCCTCCTCAAATCCCACCCTCAGCAGGCTTCATCCCTAAAATATCCTGGAAGTTTCCAACCTGGAGTTGGCAACCCTATCTGCCTGTCTGTCTTAAGTTTTACAAACCCCCCCCCCCCACAACCACACACCCTCTGCCTAGGGAGCTGCCTAGGGAGCAGCTGACATCATTCTCCTCTCCCAACTGAGAATTCCAACTGCCTTGGGGGGGGTGAGTTTGAGGTGTGGAATGGAGTGTAGTCCAATCAGCTTCCATATGTAAATGACCTTGGAACGCTGGCCGGGACTGCACAAAGCAGCCAATGAACCCAGCCAGTGTCTTCCGAGTGGCAGTTTTTTCGGCCTAACACTAAAGGAGTGCATTTTAGAACTTTGGCACCCAAAACTCTTTTATTATAAGGGAGAGATACGTCATTCATTGGAATCAGTCTCCATTCTCTTAGCCAAACATGGGCCCCGGTCACACGGAGCATTTGCCGCGCTGGAGGCACGATTCTCCCCCAGAGTGTCCTGGCGTGATCACACTGGGACATCTGGGAGGCGTAGCGCCCCCGTGGTGAACCCGTGGCGTCCTGCCTAAGATGCGCAATAAAAAAGTACCTGGGACGACCTACTAGCAAATGGTTTGCCACGGGCTGCATGCGGATTCCCCCGGTGCGATTGCGCCGGCGCGCAGCTTTCTCCCCCGCCGTCCTGTTTGCCGCGGGTGCCAAAGGAGGAACCCACCGTCGCATCTGAACGCATAATCGCGAATCAAACTGCAACGGCGCAAATAGGCAGCCCCCCCCCCCCCCCCCCGCGTTATCCGGCCCATGTGACCGGGGCCTTAGTCACTTTTCCCATGGGAGGTGAGTTTCCAACCAGTCAAGGTCCCCCCCCCCCGGCAAATCTTTATTCCCTTGCTCGTGTGCCCACCGCATTGTCCCCCCGTTTTCTGCATGTGTTTGGCTCCCTCTAGTGGCCACTTTGGTATTTTATCGTTGTATCTCCGGCTTATTTAGGAGCCCTTTTAAAAACCGGACGCAATACGGGTACAGAAGCAAGGAAATAACGTGTGTGGGGGAGCCCAAGAATCAGGAGGAGGATTGTGGTGGCTTTGTCGAACTAGTTTCACATCTTAACCGTTCATCAGCAAAGCAAAACTGCAATGCTAAGGTGGAAAAACCTAGTGAAGGCTGGGGGAGGATTCGAGGGACAAAATCCCGAGCCCCCGTAAAGCTAGCGAGTCACATCCGCCTTCATTTGATGCTTTGCTTGGATCAGACTGGGGGTGAGGGCCCCCCAGAGGAAATCTTTGGTGGGGGGGAGGGGCTTGTGGGTCAGCAGTCGTTTCAATCAGTAATATTAATAACATGGGGTGGAGGAGAAGAAGATTGGGCCAAGGCTTACCTCCACTTCTCTCTCATTGGGAGAAACACTGAAATTAGAACAAGACACGGTTCAGATTAGCGGGTCGTAAGTGCAGCTGTGCTGCGTCAGATCAAAACGGGCCAACTAGTCTGGCATCCCCTTTTCTACCACGGCCAACTGGATGCTCCCAGGAGGCCCACAAAGAGGGCAAGGTGACAACATCCCCCCACACACACACTGTTGCTTAGTGTTGCCAGACCATGCCTGGCACCTGATGGGAGGCTTGGGATAGGGGACATGGGGACAACAATGATGCACGCGCCGCTATGTCACTTCCAGTGAAAACCCAGAAGGGTAGCTCTAGGAGTTGCCGGAAACTCCATGGTAGACCCATGGAGCTTCTGGTAGTTCCTAGAGCTACTCTCTATCATTTTCAGGTTTTCGCTTACACTACATTACATCACTTCCCGTGAAAACCCAGAAGGGTAGCTCTAGGAGTTGCCAGAAACTCCATGGTAGACCCTTGGAGCTTCTGGTAATTCCTAGAGCTACTCTCTATCATTTCCAGGTTTTCATTGGAAGTGATGTAATGATGTACACAACACCACCATTTCCCCCCTCTCATTTGCTTGGAGAGGCAGCAGGGAACATGACCTGGGGGCGAACAATCCCCCCCCATCCCAACCAGGGAACTGGCAAGCTTACTGTTGTTCCAGAAGCAACTTGGCTTCTGGCCACAGACAGTCTATTAGGCCACCACAAGATACCCACTGGCGGACCTCTTCATGGCACCTGGTTTTGGAACACTGTGACACAGAGTGTTGGGCTGGATGGGCCATTGGCCTGATCCAACATGGCTTCTCTTATGTTCAAGACAGTCACCCACGGAAACCCGGCACTCACTTGCCCTTCTGCCCACTCCTCTCCACGGCAACGCTGGACACGGCCACCGCTGAAGGAGAACCGCCTGCTGAATTTAGCAAAGAGACAGAAGGAACGTGAACACAGTTAGCGAGGAGGCCATCTCTGTCAGGAGGCCAGCTTCAAGCAGCGATTGTCTGTGGCCTAGACAGATGTGTTTTTTTGTAGAGTTGACAGTATGGTGGTGAAGACACATGCATAGACACATGCCTGTATAATTACAGTCAAGTAATGAATAAATATACACTGCAAGAAACTTTTGTAAATCAACGTGTTCTGTTTATAACTATCATTCTATAAAGTGCATAGTGTGCTATTATAACATCCTTGTCAGGTACGTATATTCAGTACATTCGGTTTAACAACTACCAGTCAATTTTGCCTTAGTATTTTAAAGCCCCAACGGAAGTTTCCAGAATTACAAGCCCGCCTCTACTTGCACGAAGTCTTCCAAAAAAAGGGGGGGGGAAGCTTTCATTTATAGTTGTGTTGATGCTTATTGCCGGTCCTACAAAAGACACATTGTGCAGCTAAGATTCATGGACGGAGCGCTCCTGTCATTCTCAAGGCTGCATTAGAGGAATTTACTAGTGGGGCAGCAATAGCAGCATGATGAAACCACAGGACACTACAGCCTTTGCTGAAGAAGTTTCCGGGTTGGATCCAGTATTCCCTCTAAGCTGAATCAGTGTGAGCTAGCTCAGTTCACACCTTTTCGTCTCAGCTCAGGAAGGACGGCTCCAGAGCCAAACCAATTTATGCAGCAGCTGAATTGTTCGCTCACAACTTACATGGCCTACATGGCCAGGGTCTGACTTACCTGAGGGACCGCATTTCCCTATATATTCCCCAAAGAGCACTTCGGTCGGGGTCGCAACACCAGCTGGTGACCCCGGGCCCTAGGGAGGCCAAGCTTGTGGCAACAAGGGCCAGGTCTTTTTCTGTGGCGGCTCCTACCTGGTGGAATGAGCTCCCGGAGGAGATCAGGGCCCTGCGGGACCTTATGCAGTTCCGCAGGGCCTGCAAGACGGAGCTCTTCCGCCAGGCTTATGAGTAGGACCCGCCTTGGCCACTGCCACCACCGCTTCTTTATTGAGAGAGACCACTGGGTGGGTGGGGTAACATCTTCCATCACCCCAGTCTTCCCCACTGTGCGCAAGATGTTAGGAGCTTATTTATGCATCTGTAGAACTGATTTTAAATTGTTTTAATCTTGTATTTATATTTGTAATTTGTATACCGAATGCACCTGGTGCCTTATGTGAGCCGCCCTGAGCCCATTCGCGGGGAGGGCGGGGTATAAATGTCATAAAATAAATAAATAAATCAGGGGTCATTTCGTAGGAAAAGAGCTAGGGGAACTCATTAGCATAACTCATTAGCATATGCCACACCCCCTGACATCAGGGGCCCGGCGGTGGACCTGCAAGGCCAGTGGGAGTGCAAGGAAGCCCCGCAGGGGGCGGGGCTTCGTCATGTGCCCCGCCCCCTGCACCTCACCCAGGGGAACTGCGTTCCCCCGCGTTCCCCCCGAAATGACCTCTGAAATAAATAAATAAATAATGCCAGTCGCTCACAAAGTGGAATTTTTCCTCACAAGACTCCACCGCTTAGAGGGAGCACCGGTTGGATCCTCCCAGCTCTTCTGCTGGTACAAGAGGGGGGGAGGGGAGATCGTAGCCCCATTCTCCTTCCTCTCTTCAGCTTGGATGGCTGTCAGAACACAAAGAGAGCCTCCCTTTCCCCAGAGCCCCACCTGGAGCACCTGCCATGTTGTTTAGACCATCCTCTTTCGCTTCCTGCTCTGCGGCTACCGGTGCCTCCTCTGCCGCAGGGGCAGCCTCACAAGTTCTCTCCTTCACGGTGTGCGGTAGTGTAGAGTCCGTAGCTATGAATGGAGAGAGGGGGGAAATATCAGTGTGACCCATTTGGCATCTCTCAGACTTATTACAGTCAAGGACCCCACCCTGCCTCACCCCACAGGACCCTAGACAGTCGGGAGACTGTTTGCATTGGCGCTGGGCCTCATTCATTCCATTCATCCGTATCAGAGGTCATAGCAAGAGGCAAAGATTCTGTGGTAGCAGTTAAAGTGTCGGACTGGGACCTGGGAAGCCCGGGTTCGAATCCCCACTCTGCCCTGGAAGGTTGCTGGCTGACCTTGAGACAGGGACGCACTCTGAGCCTAATCTACCCCATAGGGTTGTTGTGAGGATAAAATGGAGAAAAGGAGAATGATGTAAACCGCTTTGGGTCCCCACCAATGTTTTCCCTAAGCGGTGGAGTCTTGTGAGCAAAAATTCTACTTTGTGAGCTACTGGCATTAAAGTTGTGAGCGAGCGATTTGGCTGCTGCATACATTAGTTTGCTCTGGAGCCCTCCTTTTCCAGAGCGAAGACAAAAACGTGTGAGCCGGAGGCTAAAAAACTGTGAGCTAGCTCACACTAACTCAGCTTAGTCTCCTTTCCCTTCCCCTCCCCACAACAGACGCCCCGTGAGGTAAAAGAAGCAGAAAAAGAGATTGGAGTTATACCCCGCCCTTCACTACCTGAAGGAGTCTCAGAGCGGCTTACAATCTCCTTTCCCTTCCCCTCCCCACAACAGATGCCCCGCGAGGTAGGAGGGGCTGAGAGAGCTCTTTCAAGGACTGCTCTTGAGAGAGCAGTTCTGAGAGAACTTGTGACTGACCCAAGGTCACACCAGCAGCTGCATGTGGAGGAGTGGGGGAATCAAACCCGGCTGTCCCAGATTACAGTCTACGCTCCTAACCACTACACCGAACTGGCTCTCGTGGGATATAAAGGAATTCTATAAAGGAAAGGCGGAATATAAAGGAATTAAACAAACAAACAAACAAACCATAAATATAACTCCTACAGCCTTTTAAAGTCTTTAACAATGTTTTTTAAAAAGCCAGATGTCAACCCTAGAAACGGTGAATTACCCGGCCCACCTAAAACACGAGGCTCTCTTGCAGCAGGGGTAAAGAAGGGGGATTTCGTAAATTACTGTACAGACGCTTGGTTGTTTGCAGAGGCAGCCGGTGTCCCTTTTCATAAAACAACTGATCCTATATTTTTACATCTCAACATTTAGGGCAAAGGCTAGGGCACAGCCAGGGGTGGATGTACTGTGGATCTGATGAAGCTTAAGCCTCATGGCCCCAATCCTGGAGGGTCCCTGAAACGACTTTTTTTTTTTGAATGAGAGAATTTTTCAACAAAATCGATGGGAGTTTTCTTAAGTGTTTGCTATTAAAATAAGGCTATTTTAGTGACAGAATCACAAGTCAGTGGGTTGAAGTACAAAGTATCGACCTCAGAATGTGCTCGAAAACCCCTTTCATACGGCCTCAAAATGTCCCTGTCATTGGTCAAATTTCAAAATTTTCTCAGGGGCTTGCAGCACTGTTGCCCTACTGTTGCTGGCTGAGAAGGGGGCCCCCATAACAGTTCAGGGCCCCAAAAATGTAG